GTAGAATGGGCCCCAAAACCCTGTTGTAATAATTAAGGCCCTTACATTAGGGTTTTGGATGGTTTCGGGTTTGGGCATGGTGTTTTGGGTTTAGGGAGTCTAGGGCGCAGGGGTTAAACGAAGCTCACAAGAATTCTCTGTGTTTCTGCAGGGTTCTTTGAGGATGCTGTATTGGCCTACCATGTTATATCACGACCAACCGTTTATACACAAATCTGTACATACGGATGAAGAATATACATATGTGTGTATACATATGTACATGTATACAAGTATATATGCATGTGTATATTTTTGTGTGTATGTATACTCTTGGGCCCCTTGGGCGCTCATTTGTGACTTTTCTATCGGAGGTCCTTGCACGGGCAGACCACGAGTCACGGAACCAAACTTTTCCAAGATAAATCCTTTGCTTAGAATTCACGCTAGCAGGGCAAACGAGAGATCATTCCAGTGTTGAACCGAGTTAAGCCTCCTAGACTGAGACTTTGACATGTGAATGCTCACTGCACGATGATTCAAAAGCGGGCTACGGAGCCTCAGAGGCACCAGTCTTGTTTAGGAAGGTTACTGAAAAAAAACGTCCGGGGGCAGGCCCGAAATCTAGGAATTATTTAGCTTGTTCTAGCTTTTCTTCGCTTTTCTTAGCTTTTTGTCGTTTTATTCAGTTTTTGTTTTAGGTTTCTCTAGGTTTGTCTACGTTTTTTTAGCTTTTCTTAGTCTGTGTAGGTTTTCCTTACTGTTGCTCTATTTCCAGGCGTTGTTTCGCGTTGGTGGTTTTCTTTGGTTTCGGTAAAGTCTCTTTGCTGTTGCTCCATCTTCCAGGCTTTCAAACGCTTCAGTCTCTTTTGGCAGGGTCAGAAAAGTCTGGAACCACTCTCTCGGCTACCAATGCCACAGCCCAATGATAACCCTATTATCGACGACCCACTCAGCACCTCCCCAACCCTTTCCGTTAATTTTTCTGCTACATGCGACCAGGAGCCATGGACTTGTTTGGCTTTACTTAGGCGTTTTTAGTTTTTCGTAGTTTTCCTTCGTCTCCTCAGCTTGTGGCCATGTTTGGCCCATATGCTGTGATATTCCTTGTCTTTTCCGGTACTGTTGAAAAAGCCCCAGTGGAAGGCACAGATGGGCAAGCATGATATACATATGCTTTTACATATACAATGTGTATACACACGTTATATACGCATATGTATATGTACAGGACTCGTAATTACGAGTATTGCTGCATTCGCGAGGTTGGAGTCATTCGTGGTGGACGCGCGCATCTCAGACCTGCCATTTGCGGGCTTTCGGTTGCTGACCATGTCTTGGGCTTAGGGTTTAGGGTTTAGGGTTTATGTCTGTGATGGACGCTTTTTCTGCCAACAAACTCGATGCGGTTCTTGAACACGGTTAAATACCACAAATGCCTCAATCTGAAACCACCAAACTGATTGGGGTACAGAATCATCGTATGATTATTACTGCTATGGTCTGTTACAACTGTGGTTGTTTTTTCCGATAGATACCCTGTCTGTTTACTCAGGCTTCCATCTTAACATTGGCAGCTTTTTATGCCCGTGGCCTGCTAGATTGATGTGACTCTAAAACCCCATAGACTCTTCATGGAACCCTTATGGCTATAGAGACTTTTTTGTAACGAAGCCCCGGCTTGAGGGTCTAGGGGTTTTGACTTGATAATTTGCATCTTTATAATACCTTCATTTATCATACCCTAAACCCTAAACCCTAAACCCTAAACCCTAAACCATGGTACCCTTGTAGGTTTCTTGTATGACCCTGGTCTGCCACCAAAAGAGGTGCCTTTGGAACTGATGCGTTGGTGGGCCGGCTTCAAGGACGGATCAGCCCGAAGAGCCAAATTGGCTTCAGGGTAAAGGGGTGTGTGGGTTTAAGGCTGAAGAGGTCTAAACCTATAAATCCTATGTTTAGGGTTCAGGGCTTAGGGTGTTCCTACATGCATTTATATCAGCTCCGAGCGCCCAAGAACCCCTTGATTTTAGGAATGGACAACCCTAAACTTCCTCAAGAGAACCTTGAACACTCTGACCCTCAACCCTAAATCCTATGGCTCTAGGCTTCTTAAGCCAACACGCTTGAAACACAACAACCCTGAGCCCTAAAAGCCCGCCACCCAGAACTTACATAATATAGGGGCCTAAATAGTCACCAATGCTATTTTGGAGGTTCCTTCTATTATTCTATGTAGTATATATAATGCACCCCCAAGTACAACAAAAAAAAACCCTTTTCTAATTATTCAGGCCCCTACAGCAGA